AAACCCCCCCCCCCCCCCCCCCCCCCAACCGCACCTTTCTTTTAGTCAAAGCAAACTGCATGCTGACTTTTCCCTTTGCTCAAATCGGGCAGTACTACTCCCCCACCGTCTTCAAAAGTATCGGCATCGCCGGCACCAACGCCGGGCTCCTATCCACGGGCGTCTTCGGCATTGTCAAGACAGTCGTCACCGTGCTCTGGATTTTCTTCCTGATTGACCAGTTCGGTCGTCGCAAACTCCTCATGTTTGGAGGTTTCGGCGGCTCAATTTGTCTCTGGATTGTCGGCGGGTACGTTGCTGTTGCGAAGCCCTCTGGCAAGGGCGACCAGTCAGATTCCCCTGGCGGAAGGGCAGCCATCGCCTTCTTCTATCTCTGGACCTTCTGCTACACACCCTCGTGGAGTGGCACGCCGTGGGTCGTGGCGAGCGAGATCTTTGACCAGAATATGCGCAGCCTCGGGCAGGCGTTCGCGGCGGCTAACAACTGGTTCTGGAACTTTATCGTGGCCCGGTTCACGCCGCAGATGTTCCGAGACATGGGTTACGGCGTATTCTTCTTCTTTGCTGCGCTTCAGCTGCTGTCTGTTGTCTACGTGTACTTTATCCTGCCCGAGACGAAGAGTGTGCCTCTAGAGCAGATGGATCTGCTGTTCTCCAAGGACTTGAAGCCCTGGAAGGCGCACAGTGTCGTCATGCAACAGCTTCGGGACCTCGATCATGAGTTCCGGGAGACTGTGGCTGATGACGTTACTGAGAAGCAGCCCGAGACTGCTAAGCAGGTTGAGCGTGTCTGAGCACTGGAGTATGTGAGAAGGCCTGTATCATACCAATGGTGCTGCCGCCATTGGGTGTATGTATTGGTACTGTTGGTCGCATATTTCTGACCCGGGAAGATGCTATCCGACCTAGTATCCTGGATCCCAGTTTCCTACAGATCTACAAAGACCCTTAGCCTAATGTCGTTTGATACACCCACTATTCCACATTAGCGATCTTAAATACAATAGGGAGACTGTAGCAGTTGGGCCAACTGTCAACTCATAGTGAAGAGTGCCATATCTCGCGGGCATGGTAAGTATGATAGTACGAAGACGCTCCGTTTCTCCCCTAGTCCGGGCATACAGATAGCTAGCTCTGAACAAGAGTATATTCACATATATTGCATTGATTTCTACACTACCAAGATTATCTTCTCGATTTCTAGCCTACCTCGCTATACCTGATAGTATTTGTGCGTCCAGAGAGCCCCAAAGAGAATACAACATGACCGAGATCACGAAAACAATGCCTGAAAGTCAGGTATCGACCCTTCCCGGGAAAGGCCAAGGTGTTCCATAAAGTCTGCTGAGGTATTTGGCCTAGCAACGTATACCAGTGTGGTTAGTCAGAAGTCTATGGCGTGGGGAATCGGGATATCCAGACACTCACCATTCAACCGCATCGAGGAGCGTCAATTGACCAAAAAGGCTGTGTTGATCCACAGAGTCCGGCAAGGAGCCAGAGAGTTCGGTCCTCGCCAAGTCAGACTGATTCATTTCCGATGCCATATTAGAAGTACTGGGTCCACGTCCAGAACCTCCAGAAGCAGAAATTGGAGTTGGGAACTGAGCCATTGATGCCATGGGCTGACTTGAAGACTCGGTGGGCCGGGGTTGGGTGTTGTTGACGCGAGTCGGAAAGTTCCTGTCTGCGGCATGAGCATCTGACATGGGGGGATCGTCGTAAGATCGGTCATGTACTGGTTCAACGGATTCAAGTGAGGTTGTATTGGATCCTCGAACCGTCCCGAGAATAGGAGGGAAAGATATCAATGAGCTGGCGGTATGGCCCGCGCTGGAGTTCCGCTGCGTTGTTTGGGAGGACACGACTCGAGCAGATGCCGTCTGGGATAGAACGGTCTCCCAGTCAGGCCGTAAATGGTATTCCAGGGAACTGAGGCCATGCTGTTCAAGATAGACGAGAAAGAACTTCGTGGTCGGTGGTAAGCAGGTAGTGTAGAATATCGGTGATAGCCGTGGGGTTGATGCAAGGAACTTCAAGATTGGTGTCACGGTGGGAAGTATTTTTTCCTTCTCAAGCTGCGCGCAGGTTTGCAACTGAGATCTATGGGCTGACTTGCATTTGATGAGGACGTATGTCGCCGCCGTAGCAATCTTGAGGTGCACAACGTGCGGCGGCTCAGAGGCTAAGCTCTGCTCTTGGAAGGAACTGGCGTTTTGCAATGGCACTGTTTCAAGCAGTTGACTCAACTCCTCGAAAAAACCATATCTCTGCGTCGGGAATGAGCTGCCCTGGCCCACGCTGTAAAGATAGTTTAGCAGACAGACAAGACGAGTCAGATAATTAAAGGTGCTTAGCACTCGACCGGGGCCATATGATGCCGTGCACATCATCATATCAGCAGCAGGTGTAGGCCACGGACGCCAGGCTTCCCATTCCTCCAGACCATCGACCGTGCTGAGCGCGCGGCTCTTGAGATCCTGATGGTTGAAATACGATCGGTTGCCAAGCCTCAAGGCGACGAGCGTGTCTAGAACAAAGCAGCCTTGGAAAAGACGTCTACTCTCGGGCGTCTCGATTGTATCTTTCCCCTCGGTCGAGACCAAGTGCAAGCTAGTCGCTACATAGACAGCTTTACCTACCCAGATCCATGCTTTAGACCAGGTACCTTTCAAGCCCTCGAGTAACGCTAGTATTAAGAAAGCGTGGACATGTCCGGCATCGTAATGTTCAGGTTCTTTGGTCGCAAGCTTCTTGGATATCCTGTGAATCTCTACCTGATTCGTTTCGATTGAAGGTTGCTGGGCGGTAATCGTACCGGCCCCTTGTAGCTGATATGATGCTAGCGCATAGACAGCCCAAAGGGACACGACATCTCCATCCTGGGGCGTTTCAATGCCATTGGCTGTCGTGTATGATGTATCACCAGCTGCGGCAGCCAATAGGCTGCCTGAACGCAGCAAGGAGTGTTTCGAAATGACTGGCAACCAAGAGTGTGTGCCCGACAAGTAGACTTCGATCAAGTTGGACCAGTTTGACGGTGAAGCATGTCCTAAATTGCAGATATCTTCTCCCAAACTGCCCGCAACATGATATTGACCTTGTGGGACCAGGTTGACCTGAGGCTGCTGAGTGAACGGTGCTGGCGAGGGTCGAGAAGGCTGGTCCGGCACTATCGATGGCCGTTGCGTATGAGGTCCGCTGCGAGCTTCTCGGCACACTCTCTCGTTTAACGCCGCAGTCAACTTTTTGTCGAGGTTGCGAAGATATGATTCGTCGTCGTCGTCCGAACCAAGCACTATGAGCGCCTTTTGCAGCGCTTCCAGTGCTGCGCTTTTCCGCCATACATCGTAGAGCGAAACGGGAAATGGAACGTCACTACGTTCTGACCCTGCAATGGGGTCGGGTGAACCAGTTGTGTCGGCACTGAGGATTGATATGATCAGGCTTTCGGCATCGTCATAGTAGTGAAGCAAAACTCCAAGCAATATGTCCGTCGCTTTGACATATCCTGGACGCAGGCCGCGCTTTTTGTAGGGGTTGTATGAGCATGAACGCCCAACGTTGTTGCAGCGTTGGCAGGATGGCTGAGCCCCATTGCAACGCTCCTTTCGACGTCGGCAAGGCTCACAAGCCCGCGAGACCCTCAGTCGCTTTCGAGGCTGGCCCCCTTCATCCTCAGACATAATGGAGGGTTCGTCAGGGGCTTCCCGCCCGGCATTATCAGCGGCGGCGGCAGACGTCATTGCCGACATGGCATTGTAGATTGTAGACCCCGTTCTGTCGGCAGGCTCCCATGCCGGCCATGTCCATAAGTGTCCGGAATGGCAGGTTGTGTCGGATCAATCCAAGGGCGAAATGGGGACGTGGAGCTGCAGCCACGTCGTCCTTAGATCAACCCCTTATCAAATAGAATTCGGCCAGGACAGCCCTTAGCCAACAATAAGCAGTGGACACGGATCGAGTGCCGGTTGCAAGGAAGGCGGCGCTGGGACAAAAGACCGAGAGAATGGCCGGCTGATGAAGAGCGTGGATCCTCGACTTGCGTCGTACATTTCTGCACTAATTTGGTTGGTGGATGATTTCGGCTAAGACATCTTCCGATGTGGACCACCGACCGATCTCTTGATCAGCTACTCCGCACTTTGTCTTGAAGCCCGTCTGGTCTGGTTCATCTGATGGTTTTCCCGGTCAAGCTGGTCTCCATTTCCTCTCTCCCAGGACGGCACTGACTGCGGATCACATGAGGAATATCATAGTCACATGCACTTACTCCTCGACCCTTCCGTCATTCACTACCCACCGGTCTCCAATTGGCCTCCACGAAGCTTCACCCTACTACCTCCTACAACCCTGAATGCCTGTGTGCCGACTCTATACCGTCGTCCTCAGTTGCAGTAATCGCAGAGGACTATGATTGAAGCCTGTGTATCAGGGCATCCGGCTAGCGCCATCGCGGCCTAGTAACCTTGCCAACATAGTTGAAGCCCATCATGACAGCGGTCACGATAAGCCCTTCGTCTTCACCCTCGATTCAGCCCCGTCTTGAGCTTGGTGGCGGCAGCTCCTCAATTACTCCGTTGGCTACGGCAGGACGGATTCCACAACGCGATGTCTCTCTGGCCCAGAACGCCTCATCATCCCACTGGCGTCCAGATGCGTCCATCTTGCTTGTTGGTATACGTGGCACCGGGAAGACCAGTCTTGCCATCCTGGCTGCCACGGCACTTGATTTCCGCTTGGTAGACGCAGACCAGAACTTCCATAAAGTCGCTGGTATGTCCAGATCAGCATATGCTTCAAGATATGGCTTCGACAGTTATCGGAAGCAAGAGCTCGCCCTGATGCAGTCCCTACTCCAGGACAACCCTTCCCGTAGCATCATTGTCTGCGGGCCGGGATCGGCAGAAGGCACGCAGCAGGAATTGCTACACGAGCTAAAGAATGCCCACCCGATCATCTATGTCATGCGCGACCCTGAAGAGATTGATCGGTATCTTCAAACGAACGAGCCGCAGAAGATTAGTCGGATCTCTCAGCTCATCACACCAAGCTACCGCGCACTATCCAATTTTGAATTCTACAACTTATCCGAGCCACTGGCACATCAGACTCGTGACCCCAACTCTGGTCTGACGCCGCCATCACGGCCGGCCCTGGTGCTGAAGGATGTCGAGCACGACTTTCTTCATCTCATTCACACTATCAGAGGAGAGCAGTCATTGCCCTCTGTTCTGCAAGCTCGGCACTCATTGACCTTTCTATCTCCCGAGGCCAAGCCATTCTCTTACGCACTGGTCGTTCCATTTGGGTGCGTTCCGAACATCGCGAGTCGACTTGGCCTGACGGATTTGGTCGTGGATGCAATTGAACTCGTTGTCGACCTTGGTCAACTGTCGCCTATCAACCAATCGTTCGATCATGCTGCTGCCACGCTATTAACGCAACACTACTACATTCTTCGGCGTAACGTCAGACTGCCAATAATCATTCACTTGCATGCAAGCATAGTGCAGCAGGCAGCAACCAGGCCAGACTCGGACTGGTTGAAATACCGTGACATCATGCTCCATGCTCTTCGGCTGGGCCCTGAATACATGTCACTAGACCTAAACTGCCCTCCGAGTATTGCTCAAGTAATACTGTCTCAAAATGTCGGAACAAAGGTCATCGGCCATTACTACGATCAAAACCCCGAAGCAGCGGCCTGGGATTCACTTCATCGCCGGCAGCTGCTCGAGACCGCAGAAAGCTGGGGCTGTGATATCACTCGCATCTGCCAGCCCGCAACTTCACGAGCGGATAATTTTGACGTTCGACGCTTTGCATACGAAGCCAGTCAATCTAAGAACACCACGCGGCCGTTGATTTGTTACAATGTCGGTCGCATGGGTAGAGCTTCGTGCTATATAAACTCGGTCCTGACGCCTGTGACCCATGAGCTGATTACAGAGGTAACGTCTCCATTTGGCGACGCCCTGCTCACAGTCCAGGCAGCGCAGAGTACTTTGTACGCGTCCTTCACCCTTGATCCGCTCTTTTTTGGCATCTATGGCAGCGCAGTTGCTTCGGCTTTATCACCACCGATGCATAACGCCGCCTTTAAGTTCTGCCGCATGCCCCATTGTTACGAAATATTCGAATCATCCACCTTGCGCGAGCTTGAGTCCATTGCCCAGAACGAGAACTTCGGCGGGGCCAGCATTAGTGCGCCTTTCAAGCAGGAGATCATTTCCGTCCTCGACTATGTCAGCCTAGAGGCTCAAGCTATCGGTGCTGTGAACACACTCATCCCTTTACGGTCACGCCGACTGGAGTCACTAGTCGAGCGCAACCGCGCCGGGCCAGTCGTCGCCCTTTACGGAGACAATACAGACTGGATTGGGATCCATACATGCATACGCCAAAATCTTTCACCCATCAATGCCGTCAAAAGCCGGACGGTCGCCTTGGTTATTGGGGCCGGCGGCATGGCACACGCGGCAGTGTATGCCGCTATCCGCCTCGGTGTCCACACCATCTTTGTACACAACCGCACGCTTGAGAACGGCGAGAAGCTTGTACATCGCTTCAACGGCAAATCCTTCTCAATCCAGAACATCGATTTGTCGCACCCTAGCCCCAGTGCTTCCCCCCAATTGTGGCCCGTATCTCAATCACAAGCATGCAAGACCAAGCCAGCGATTGTTCGAATAATCCCGTCTCGAGACAGCCCTTGGCCTGCAGGTTTTGATCCTCCTACCATCATTGTTTCTTGCATCGCCAGGACTGGGCAAGGAGGCCAGTCTCCGGCGGACAACAGCCTACCAAGAGCATGGCTCGCGAGCGAAACTGGAGGTGTAGTCATCGAGGTAAGTCACGGTTAATATATATTGGGCTCTCTTTGGACCTCCTGTACTAAGCTCATACTTGAACATGGTTAGCTTGCGTACAACCCCATTGAAACACCGCTCGTCCAGCAAATACGATCACTCTCTAGAGGAGACTGGATCTCGGTCCACGGTTTGCAAGTTCTACCGGAACAAGGGATTGCCCAGTTCGAGCTCTTCACAGGTCGGAAAGCGCCGGAAAATCTGATGAGAGCACAGGTTGCAGACTATGTCAAGAATTTGGGCAAAGCATAGATCATAAAAGTTCTCCTGCATGTTAATAGATCATTTCACTGTATATCAGAAACACAGAGCGCGGACACTCTGAATCTAATCTCCCCGCAATAGCTCGGGGAACTCATTAAGCTATAGCTCTAACCTGCTAGCGGTGGTGAGAAATGTAGGAGAACAGGCATTTGTGGTCGGCAATTCCATTCACTTTTTAATGCACCGGCAACATTGATATTGTTGGCTCATAACTAGTAATCCATATAATCCACTATTTCATGGAAGCCTCTCTGTGTCTCTTGAATCGGATCAACCAGATGCTTCGGGTGACGATGTGGGCGACATTGCTAGTGAACGGCAATATTATTAATTAGGTGGGTATAGTCGCAATTGGGGGATATATTCTTAGCCATATGCCTTTTAGCCTACCTGCTGCAAATACACGATGTGACCAAATTGAATATCACTTCGAAGAACCTTGGGTAAAAAGAACAACACAAACTCCATTTCAGCGACTCACAACACTCTCACTGCAAAGATGCCCGACAAGTGCCAGAAGAAGCTTCGGACCTATCTGTTCGGATATCCGATCCGCCACTCCCTTGCTCCTCTGCTCCACACCGTCATCTTCGAGAGCCTCAACGTTCCCTGGACTTATGACCTCGTCGAATCAACAGAGAAAAACGATTTCCTCCCGATGCTCCATGCCGATGACTGTGCCGGAGCATCGGTCACCATGCCGCATAAGGTGGCTTGGCTCACCGAATGTGACCAAGTGACGGAGGAGGCGCGGGCTATCGGGGCCATCAACACCGTGTACATACGGCAAGACCCTGTGTCAGGCCAGACGCACTACATCGGCACCAATACTGACTGTATTGGTGTTCAAGAGGCGTTTGTGCAAAATTACCCGCACATCCTGGCCGAGAGCACGGGGCGACCTGCGCTGGTCGTCGGCGGCGGAGGCGCGTGTCGGAGCGCCATCTATGCTGCTTACAAGTCACTTGGAGCCTCAGAGATCTACCTCGTCAACAGAGATGCCAAGGAGATTGAGGGAATCAGAGACTGGTATGCCGCCACCAACGATCCGCCGACCTTGGTGCACGTCTCTACCGTGGACATGGCTCGCCAGCTGGAACCTCCCGTTGTGGTGGTAGGAACAGTGCCGGACTTCCAGCCCTCGACGACCGGCGAGATCCTTGCGAGGGACATCACTATGGAGTTTTTGAAAAAGGACAGGAAAGGGTATGTGCTGGAGATGTGCTACCACCCGACTATCTCGACACGGTTCTACGATCTAGCTCAGAGCAGCGGATGGAAGGTGCTGCCTGGAACCGAGGCCATGATATATCAGGGCTTGGCGCAGGAAGTGCTGTGGATGGAGCGGCCTATGGAGGATATGCCTGTAGAAGCTGCGAAGGCTGCCATTGCACAGGCCCTGGCGGAGAGGCAGAAAGACTTGCATATAACTTAAGACATAGTATCCCGAATGGACTTTTCGTAGGTCGCGACTGATTTTGCAAAGTAGAAAGATCGATAATCATAACAGACGTTTATTGCATGTGTGAACGAAAAGACTCTGTTCGTGCTGGACTTTTTGTGGTCAACATGAAGATCTCTGTGAGGCGTATAGAATTCAAGATTATGAACATATGCCAGGCGCAGAATACCCAAGAGCTGTACTATGGCTTTCCTTTGTGACTTCTCACATCGCCTCTAGGCTAGATATCAAGGTTGCGCCCTTCCAGCCAGTCCTTGGCTTGCCAATACAATAAATCATGCTTCTCTAGGTTCTGCGTGCTGACATGTCGCCTGTGGCCGGGCATATCGGTCAGGACCTTGACACCCATTGTAGCTTCCTGGAAATATGCAAGATACTTGTAGCCAGGAGGATACTGCTGCAGCTTGGCATCATCAATCCTGGGGAAACGGGCTGGGTTCGCCGGGATGACCTTGTCCTTTTCGTACCAGTGGCGGACGAAGTGTGCGCCCCACCGGCCCTCGACCTTCTCGAAAAAGAAACAGAAGCGGCAGTCACACTCGACGTCAATCTCGCATCCGTCGATCTCGAAACGTTGGGTGATTGTCGCCTTCATTTTGGTCACGGCCCGTGTGCCTTCCTGGTTGATATCCGTGGTCAAGCCGTGACAGCGGTGCATGATGAACGCGCCCCTGTCCATGCCCGCCTTGGAGGCCTCGATGAAGTCTGTAGCCAGCACGCGGCCAGACCAGGTGGTGAAAACGTAGGCGCCGGGATGGAATATGGATTGGAAGTTTTCCCATTCGCATGCATCTCTGTTAATGATGCTGTCAGTCTTCCCAGCCATATTGTCGTCTTGCGGTTCTGCACTTGTACCTACCTGTATGACGGCCATCCTTCCGCAAGCTCACGGAGCTTAAGTCTTTCAAGCACCAAGTGGTCGGGGCCATTATTGCGAAGAGCATTCGCTGGCTGGGAACCCTTAGGGAGTGAATGTAGGTCCACCATGGTTTTGCTATTTATGTGACAGTTCGCTTGATGCTCTGTATCGAGTGCACGGAGTGAGTAAAAACAGTAGACAGCGTAGACAGAGTCGATAGTTTAGATGCATCTACACAATGAATTTCTATGACCCGGGGCTAATTGCATGTTTGAACCTACGGAGTTCAATCCATCAAGTCCGCGCCGAGACCAGAGTGGAACTCATATGCTTTCGGCTAAGATATAAGCCGTTACAAACGCTAGTAAAACAGACTACTAATTACTATAGCCAGGGAGGGGGGGTTCGGGACGCTAGGTGGTGGGTAGCGGTGTCGGCGCGCTGCTGCTCCTCAAAGGCGCCTGAGAGCGTAGAAACGGTGCACAGACAGACACAGCAATAAAACAGCTTAAGATATATATATTATAGACTAAGCTAAGAGATAGGCACCCTAGTCTATTCTGATTAAATAGTTATATTATACTATCCTTATAGGATATACTTTTCTACTTTATATATAGCTATATTCTCTAGCTAGAGATCCTACTAATCTTTTAATTAAGTTAGTATAATAATAATAATAATAATAATAGTAGTAATAATAATATCTTTAGAATTAATAATAATATTAGTATTAATTCTTTATAGATATCTATTTATTTTATTTTCTTTTAGTATATCTATTAGATATAAGCTAAGTTATACTATTAATATAATATAGTTAAAAGAGATATAATAAATATAATACCTATATTCTAAAGATACTATAATAGTATCTAATAATAAGAATATAATTATTATTATAGATTAATTAAGTATAGTCCTCTAACTATAAAGGCTCTTAAGCTTAATAGCTACTGTCTTTAATATAGGTTTAAGATCTAGAATTAGTCCTAGACTTTTAGATCTCTTAATTATAGTTAAGGATTAAAATTAGTTCTAGACTTTTTAATCTCTTAACTATAGTTTAGCCTATAACTAACTAATAAGTTAATTTATTTAGATATCTATATATATAAGTTTATAAGTCTAAATATATAAGTTATCTACTTAATAATAGATATAACTAAATTATTATAATAAATAGTCTTTTAGTAATAAGTAATTTATTCTATAAGTTATAATAATATACTTTAAGACTATTACTAAGAGGTTGTCTTAAATATATATAAAATAGTTTATCTTTCTACTACTTTCTTAAGTCTATCTCTTATACTTATCTATATTAAGACTATTAATTATATTCTCTATTAAATAATCTAACCTATATCTTATTATAGAGTCAACTGCCATTACTATAGAGTACTGCCCTAAGAGCGGTCAGTACGATAAGATAGGTAGGAGCATATAGACCACACAATCACTACAGGGTGAGTGATCGTAAGTAATCCAGTCACCACAGATCACAGTGATCCATCATAATCTATTGTCTATATATACAGACGTATGTCTACCCTTAGATACCTCACAACAAACTGTAATTCGGTTCTTCTTAGACCCGAATTGAAACCCCATACAAAATAAAACGGCGCTCACAACAAACTGTAATTCGGTTCTTCTCACAACAAACTGTAATTCGGTTCTTCTTAGA